TTTTGAATTGTGAGCAAATTGTATATATCTGTGACCGTTATATATTTATTAATAAAACATATAATTAATTAAGTAATTCATAAATAAATTTAAATAAAAACCTGATTTTTGAATGTTAAAACATCTAACCTTAATTTTGAAATGGTAATAAATAAAAACCTGATTTATGTAGACTTTCCAAAAAACAATCATCATAAGTTGGACTAATATCATGAAGACTCGTGAACTGGACCACCTGCACGAATATCAAGCCCAACATGGCCCACATTACTGGAGATCGTGGTTTTGATCCATTTTTGTACCTATATCGACCGTCCATCCTTTTATGGCACGAGGAATAAATGAATTAAAACCACTATAGCGAGTACAATTCATTCGCAAGTAGCTACCACACAAAAAGACCCAAACAAATAACAAATGGCATCTGCAACAAAGATTCCTAAAAAGGACGTGTAGTAAATTTACGTCACTGCCCCCGCTAATATATTCTCCGCAACGTACGACTCTCGTTAATTGTACGATCAAATTTTCCCAATATCAAATAGATAGTTGCTTCACAACCCAATTCATACTTTCGGAGAATGGATGATATTTTGGGTCTTCTAAGAATTCGGGTTCGCAGAGGCATCAATCTTGCTGTTCGTGACACATGTAGCAGTGATCCTTATGTTGTTATCACCTACTGTGGTCAGGTTTGCCATTTTTCCCCCTGTCCGTAATCATGTTTCTTTATTCCTACGAGACTACGGTCATTGCCATTTTTTCCTGAATAGATAGATTTTTTTAGTGAGATGCACAGCATCCGTTTGATGGATGAACTAATTGAACTTTAGCCAGTTGAAACTGTTGGAAATTGGAATTGCATCTTTGAATCTTCATCCTGAAATCCTGTTGGAATATTATTCGTATTTCTTTTTTATTACAGTAATTGAAAATTCAAAAGAAGGAAAAGAAGAAAATCATGGTGGAAAAAATAATTGAAAGAAAATGTACAGAAGGTTGGGAACTTACCGAAAAGGGTATGAAGTCTTCTTATAAAAGATTGTGAACATTGGAGAATTCAAGATAGACAAACACGACTAACAACTAAAGTGAGTGGAAGAGAAGAGAGATTGCGAGAGTAATAAATGTTTTTTAATTGAAGATTTGATTAGTGAATTGGTTCTTCCTCTTCCATTGAAGTAGGCGATTTTTCGGAACCACATAAATTTGTGATTTCTCTCTTTAGTATATTTTCTTTCCGTTTCTTTTTTAACCAATAATCCCCATTTACCGTACTTGATAATTACTCACGATCAAAACTTTCGTGTATGCATGATTTGCTTAGTGTTATAGATTGAAGAATTTTATGCTGCATATATATGTAGGAGAGGTCCTTGTTAGAAAGTGCAAGAAACATTTTACTGCTATGGGTTTTCTTCTTTCTCCTATTTGAAATGTGTGAAATGTCTTGATTTCAAAATTATTTGCAATCTAAGTTAAGGTTCAAAGTCAGAGGCAAGAGGCAAACTCCATATGACATTGCAAATGATCTAGGTTTGTTAGGTTATTATGAATGTCAAAGGCATATCACATATGGTCTGAACTTGCACTAAGTAAGTTTATTAGGGAACACTAAAGGTATCATATGGAGCTTTTATCGTATCGGGTGACATTTAAAGAGGAAAAGAAGGCAAGGAACAAATATTTACCCATTGAAGTATGCTATTGTCTTTGCCTGAACATTTATTGTTCAAGTTGAGAATACAAAATTGATTGCAGCCTAAACATATATTTTTTCTGGATTAGTTTGCCCCAGTTCATAGCCCTCCGAAATTCTCCGGTTAAATCGTCTACAATAATACATCTTGTAAGCTCTTACTATCCCTGCATCACATTGTTGGATTTTTTATGTCATTTTGGATGGCAAAAAAATAGCTCAACATTTTGTAGTCCATCATTATTTTTTAGATGGGCTGGACAATTATCTATCACCAAGAGAATTTTCTCCATTTTGTCAAGCCACCAAATATATTCATCAAAAAGCACCCCAATCATCCACAATATTTTGTTGGAATGGTATTGCAATTCAAGTTGTTCATGCTTATATTCTTGAAGCAATGTGGTTTTGCATACTTTCCGATGATATATGGAGGAATTTTTCTAACCATTCTCATTACAACAAACAACAATCGTAAGCATTTCCTTGTCTTGCTTTTTTCCTTCTAGTTGCTTTTTTGCAATAGAGTGTAAGGTTGTAACCTATAAAACAATCGTGATTAATCCATATTGAAAATATCTTTCACGGTGAACTGATCTGTTTTTTTCCTTATGGACTTGAAGTTCTTCTCCATTTCTTGTGTATCATTTTTTTTCCCAAAACGATGAAATGACTTAATACCTAGCCTTAACTGGAACTTCTCAAGACAACCTTGAGAAATATTAAATTTTGAAGTCTCTTCAAGGTTTAATATTTTCATATTCCCTCTTGCTTTTTCAAGATTAGTTCTCATGTTATATTTACATGATCTTGATATTGAAGAAATCACTCATAAATAACCTTCCATATCTACAAATTTTGATGGTTTGTGCCGCTTAGCATGACAACCTTTTTCTAAGTCAAATAAAAGATACTTTGATGATCGTTTGACTATATTTGATATTGTACCTTGACTAATTTTAAAGTAGAATATTTCAGAAACCCATTGTTGCCATTCTTTTTTTCGTGCATGTGACATGCTCTTTACTATACTCCCATAATGCTTTATGCATCCCATCTGTAATGGTTGATTTATGATCACCTTTTTGATGGGAAGCCATTGTGACTTTACATTTAATTAAATTAACACAATTACTATGAATATTATTTAGTTAAGTACATAATTACTATGAATTTATTTATTTTGGTTAATTTAATGTATATTTAGTGCATTAATTTCATATTTAGCCCTGTATTAGCCACATTATTTTTTTCATTCTCATTCTTTTACTCATTTTCAACCACACATTTTTCAATAAAATAATATTTTCCATCACATCAATAACTTTTCCTTCTTTTTCAATCACATATTCTCCATCACATCAGCAAAAAAAAATGCATTTTTGGAGCAAAAATGTGCACCAAACAGGGTATCAGTTGATTAGATGGGTAAAAAACAATGAATACTTAGTTGATTAAATGTATGATTGTTGAATTGTACTCTATAAATTAATAAATTTATGTTCGTTGAATTGTAATCTATAAATTAGTAAGCCCCTGTTTGTTGACCATTATTTGGCAAAAATAGTGTTTTGAATAGGAAATATTTGGAGAATGTATGATTAAAAAGTGGAGAAAATTTTTGAGTTTATATGCAGATATTTTATTGTGTGAACGTGTGATTGAAAATGAGTATGTTAAAAAAAGATGCATCAAACAGGGGCTAAATAAATTGTCGATTAATTAATAAAATTTATATGGTCCCAAGGTATTAATTTAGAGGTTTTGCATTATGGAGGTCAAATTCATAACAATTGTCTATGTCTAAATTGCCAGAAAAAAAAAATAATAATAAAAATATTTGTCTGAGTGCAAATCAAGGCTGTCCTACTTCCATGTCGCATTGAGTTCAGGAGTTAACATATCCCCTCTTGGTATATGAATTTTTCTTTTAGCCATTGGAAAAGAACTTTAACCTTCGTTTCATAACATTCTCGTTAGAATTCCTTGATAAAATTACTAATATGTTTCTGTACAATCATACAAGTCTCTTCCTAGAAGACAATATTGTATTTCCCAGATCATCTTGGGTAATATTTTGTTATTGCGATATTCGGATGCTCTATCGAAGTTTTTCTCACATTTTTACCGTATCTACAGGAATCTTATTTAGATTTGTATTTGTAATTTTTTAATATAGATCCAATCACTTCTCAGATGCGGCTATGACAAATTTAATTTTCATCGAGAACAACCCTATGCACTCCCCAAGGCATGATTATTGAAATCCTAAAAATCAATGTACTTCACTACTAGCCAAAACAGTTTGCCAGGATGCAGAAAACATAAATATGGAAGGACAAGGACATTACATTTTTGTTTCTCTCAATTGGCATGTAGAGAACACATGTTTTGAGCTATACATAGAAAAGGTGATAGTCAATTGGGATATTTTTGTTCAAAATGAATTGACGGTTTAGATTTCCCGTCCCTTACTTTATTGTTGCTTACATTTACTAGCATTGCCAGTTTAGTTTTTCTTTGGCTCCATAGGAATAACATCAACTTTTGTTACAAGACAGTCATTTTATTCCATATTTATGTATTCTGGAATTGTTTCTGTAAAGTAGTAGAATTCCCTTTTGTAAAAGGATATTGTTTTGCTTCCAACATAATCTTGGGTAATATGTACAATAGTTTGATGCACATTCATAATTTATATGATAAGATCTCTTTGATACATGGCAATGCTAAAATTTATCTTTCTTCCAGAAAGACATCTACCTTGCTATCAGGTTCAGTCTCTTCAATTGAAGCAATTCAGGCTTTGATGTTTAATGCAGCCTCTGATATATGCTCTACCTATTACTGCAGAAAGTGAGGACTCGTGTTGTGAAAGACAATTGCAACCCTTTGTGGGATGAGGAGTTGACTATCTCCATTAAGAATCCAAATGAACCTATAGTTCTAGTAAGTTTCATTTTCAAAATTAATTCTCTTCATTTTGCCAAGTGGGCTGATCAACTTTGCCGTACGTAGAAACCATATGTTTCTTTGTCTATTCAATGTTCTGACGGTTTCATGTGAATGGGGCACCTTATTTTTCTGAAAAATATGTATAAAAATAGAAGCAGAAACACAGATCAGTTTGTTCTACCTATTCTTCTACGCATTAAGCATTAAGATGATTTAGGCAATGCAAAATCCTTTTAAGTGTGTTCTCTAATAATGGTTAGCATGAAGATGGTAATGCCTTACAACCCTTACCCGGGACTATACATGACACACAGTTGATGACCGATTGGTTACTATACTTTCCAGGTCGTGTACGATAAAGACACTTTTACTAGGGATGACAGCATGGGAAGTGCAGAAATAGATATCAAGCCTTACATGGAGTGTCTGAGAATGGGATTGCAAGGCCTTCCAGATGGCACCAAGGTCGATAGAGTTCAGCCGAGCAGGAACAATTACCTAGCTGATGAGAGCTGTATTATTTGGAACAAAGGAAAAATGACTCAAGACATGGTTCTCAGATTGAGAAATGTGGAATGTGGTGAAGTGGAGGTTCAAATCGAATGGATTGATCTTCCAGGTTCTAAAGGTATCCAAGGTTGAGGTATGCTTTATATATGCCTTCTGTTGGTCGTACCTAGCATGAAGGTTTGAACATCCTTATGTAATTAATTATATGTTGCTCAGTACGATAGAACCTTGATAATATGAACTTCAACTGTCAGTTAATTATCATAAATAAATGGCAGATTATCATTGAGATTTCTGCTTATGTATAGGTAGACCTGGTATAATCAATCGATTAACACAGAATGCTTTGCTGCAAAATAATTGCTGTGTTGGCTATTATCATATATTTTGTCACTGGTTTGCATTAGATATAGAGAAAATGAAGATTTGAGGAGTAATGAAAACGTAAGAATCGAAGTAGACTTCCATTGGTTCGCTCTCTGCCACCAAACCTTCATGGAGTCATAGAAGGAACATTTGAGTCTGGCTATAAATGCAAAGGTTGGGTCAGAGCCCCTTGCACTTTTCATGTCTCTCCAACTCCAACGCCCCCATCCCATCTCATTGGTCAGTGTTTCACACAAATTATATACCGTGGGGATTAATTTACAATCGTGTCAAACTACAAATACTCAGAATGATGAACTTCTGTTAGTGGAATGACGATGGATTCTGTTCTCTACTTCCTATATTTTAGTACAAAGGTTATTCCGTCAAGGAATATGATACGTGTCAACTCAATCAGAGATCTTATTGATTCATTCGACCATTCTCTTGGCCTTGCTCCGCCACGTGTCCTTTTGATAATTTCTGATTCCACGTGTAGTCATTTTATTTCTCTTTCCTTCTTGTCTTGGCTAAATAGATAGATAGTAACGAAAGTGTTTCTCTTCCAATATACTCTATCCGTGTTTACAATATTCTTATCTATATTGACGATGGTCCTACAACTTATTCCCGAATGCTGGTTCTTGCAGAACAATGAGAACATTCCTATGTAAGGGAAGGCAAACTTAAAGAACGCCCCCTTTTAAATTCAGCTATTATGAAAATCAAATACCACAAGAAAGCACGTTTCACAAGTTGAGATCTGATGTCTAGCAGCAAATGGAAACGCTCCACGATTCATTAACCAGGTCTGTTAAGAGTTTAAATTTACCCTCCAGAGATGGCAACTAGTTGGGTGAGTGGAAAGAAATAATTTTGGTTTAGCTTCTGTTTGACAATCATTCTCTCCAAACCACGTATTTTCACAATAAATATTTTTTACGTAAAACCAAAATTTTTCCCTACTTTTTAACTACACATTCTCCAAAAAAATTACTATTCAAAAACTCATTCTTTGCAAAAAAAAAAAAAAAAAAATTNAAAAAATTGTCAAACAAAGTGTAACTCACGAAAAGGTGAGTGAGAGAGAGACGAATGTTATTTTTTTTGTTGACCTGGACTATGGTCGCACATGTTTAGGTCCACACATGTTGTTGTGTACCAACAACACTGCATATACATTAATCCAATCTAGTATATATAGAAGGGTAATATTATTTAGCATCATTAGTGTTTAATACCAATTTAAGTAGTAACATTCGTGGCATTAAATTACATGTTCAATTAAATACAAGAAATTATAGTTCATTTAATCGAATAATACTATTTATCACCATTGACGTTGAACAACATTCTAGATGTCAGCATTTCAATATTCCTTTGAGTATTGAGTTAATTGACTGAATGACTTCTATGGTCTCATTGAAATTAATGTCATGCGGCCTCTTGTATATGAAAAAAATGAGTACTTCCAAGTGATAGCAAAAAGTGGTAAGACAATTCACCTTCAATGCACATACGAATATATATGTACATTCCACCTCAAGGGTGTCAAATTATCATCAATCTAGAATCCCATAGGAGCGCAAGAATTAATCGTGATGTCAAATTTTCAAAGATATTGATAATCGATATTCAATTTGAGGTAAAAAAACAAAAACAAAAAGAAAAATCGGTAGGAAAGAGAGATTTCTCTTTTAACTCAACCTGACTTTATATCTCAGGGCAAATATTCATTTTATAGGGAAAAACTGGCCTGTCTTATTGCACAGAATAAGAGATGGTCTTGCATCTAATTTTCAGCTTCCAAGAATCTTTTGGAATATGTAAAACCCTTTTTAAAATGTGTTTGTTCGAAGAAAACAAATCGGACTAAGTTTCTATAGCTTCTTTTTCGATCTCACCTCGAGAACATGATCTTTGTTAACCAGAAAGGTAGCATTGGGTAATGTTAGTGATGCCTTTTAGGACCAACCAGTAAGAGTTCATAGTTTTAATCTTATCAAAGTTGTGTTCTTTCATAGTGAATTAGACAATAGATTAATAATTGAATAAGATCATGTTCAATAATACATAATAGAAATCATCTTTAAATTTAGAGAGTCAAATTTTTTATACTCTTCAACAATATTCTCGACTTTGACTCTTCAGTGTGTGTTTGAGCCACATTATTTTAGAAAAATGTATTTTGAAATTGTAGATTGATGGAGAATGTGCGGTTGAAAAAGAAGGAAAAATTATTAATATAATAGAAAATATTATTTTATTGAAAAACGTGATGTTGAAGATGAGTAGAAGAATGATAATGGAAATTTTAATATGGCCCAAACAGAAGCTCATTTTATTTTTTCAATAAACATCTATTGATATCTTCTCATCTTTTAGATAATATATTTATTTAAATATCCATGGCTAATCAATTCACATGTGGTTCGAATAATTTATGAATTATAGAATTTAAACCTTATAAGATGCTATCTATTTTAGAGAGACGATGCATAAAATAAGTTTGAAGAGATTTTATTTTTAACTTTATTTTTTTTTTTAAAAAAAAATAGAGAGTTGGTTGAGAGCCACAAATCCATTGTCTATTCTTAATTTATAATGATTTCATTTAACCCTTGTTTGAGCCCCATTATTTGGCAAATAATGTATTCTTGAATAGTAGATTGATAGAGAATGTGTGGTTAAAAAATAAGAAAATGTTTTGAATTTGTATGTAATATTATTTTATTAAAAAATGTGTGGTTAAAAAAAAAGAAAAATGTATTTTTGAAAAAATTGGGATCAAACAAGGGCATAATATGTTACCTATTTCAATACTGTACTACCTAAATTACTAAAATTATATTTGAATTGATTGAAAATTGACATAAAAAATATGTTAAATAAGATATTAAAAAATCATTGAATGTTTATTGAAAAGGCAAAATAAAAAGTCAAAATAGAGAACATTGTTGAAGTGTATAAAAAAATTACTATCTAATTTTGGGTGTTCCATCTATTATACATAAAATTTTTTTTTTTTTATAAATAGAGAGTATATTGAAGATGGTTAAAAACTTAAAATAAATACTCTTAAAGTTTATTTTTAAGCATTGACTGCCTAAAACATAAAGCATTTTGTATTTAAATGATCTTGAAAATGCTCTTATAATAGAAGTGTGTTATGCTCTTCAAATTTAGAGAGTCAAACCTATTATCTATATTAAAAAGTGGAAATATAATTTTTGAAACTTAAAATTATTGACTTTTTAAAATATAAAGTATCTTATAATTAGAGTAATTTGGAGATGTTCTAATAACTACACTAATTAATTTCACTTTCAACAACAAAAACTTGTCTTGATAAGTTTCTCGACTATTCTTTTTCGACAAAATCAATTATAATATGACTTTTTGTATTTCCAGGGTAGGTTTATCCTTGCAATTGTAAGAGCAAACTTTTTGGCCTTTCCAGAAGCCAATTTTAGGTCTCTTCTCTTCATTTATTAAGTTGAAGCGACAAATTTATTCATTTAAATTCAATTTCACTAAGTTCAATTTTTAATCAAAGGCACGATGTGTCTACAAATTAAGTGAGGATGGGACTTCTAGGAAGAACCCCTTTCCGATCTTAAACCTTGTTAAATCACCAATACAATAAAAAGAATAAATCATATCGAGGTCCTCACTGTACTTCGATATGATGTATCCTTACATTGTGAATTCACGTATAAGTCGTCGAACAACGTATTTATGATATGATAAAATTTATTTATTCAAAATTATGTGTTCAACATCTTCCATCTACTTCCTATTGAATCAATTAATAATGCTATTGATAATTTCAGCGTATCCATAAGCATTGATGTGACATTTAGATGACTTTAATTAATTTATCATCTTAAATATAGGACTTGAGATGACGAATCAATTAATATCATATCACGATGAGCACTACTTATAAATAGTAATACTCTAATCAATAGGTCACTCCATAATTAATTATTTCAAGCTTGTGCACTCTCCCATAAATTTCTATTGCTCGTTTGGTTAGGAATGCACGCAATGCAAGCATTAAGGAAAATAACAAGAGCTTCTTGTTTCAACCAACTTCTGAGCCACACAAGAAATGCTATTGAGATTAAAGAAGGCTTCATTCATTCTCACAAACATAAGAACTTGTCAAATTGAGGTCGAAATAATAAAAACTCTTCATTATTGAAGTCCAAAGGATACAACTGAGCAAGACGTAGCAATTTATCCCTATCAAAAGCTGCAAATGAATCTCTTAGATTTAAACAACGAAATACAAGTTAGGAGTTCAGTAGTTATCTCGAAAAAATGATCATTCAACTCTTGCAAGATTGAGTCTATCACGTGACAATACAAATCAACATAAAAGCGATGATAATAAGTCATCTACTGAGTTTCACGCCTAGGTCGACCTTTCAATACTACAATATCCTCCATATTGGGCACAAAAATATATCTAACAACACAAAACTCAATCACCATACTCAAAAAATTATCCCAGTCATTGTCTATCATGTCCTGCAATGCATACTTACATAAATTTAATAACCCCATAGCATTCTAAATATCTCGATGCTTTTTTTGTAAGGCTTGTGAAAGGTCGTCTGTAATTGCTAGAATTTCAAATATGAAGTGGAAACTGAACACAAACTCAAAGTCCTGCATAGTATCCATCTGTCTTGCGGCCATTGATTTTTGCTCTAAATTTATGCCATCTTCTAATATATCCTCCAGAACATCTATGATAG